TTGTCCCAATGCTGCCATAGGTTCTCTGTTCTAGGTAGAACAACACATATCAAAGATGCGAAAAGGAGACCCCGGAGGAAACGGTGCCGATTGCTGCAGAAAGATCTGGGTTTGGAATCTAAGAGGCCGTTTTGCAAGGCTTTGAAATATCTGTCTGCACTTGGGCTCAAATAAATAGCTCAAGGTGGAAAAGAAGGGTAAAGGAAATAATACTCTTAAAACCTGACAAAAAGCCACACGCAAGACTTGGAAAAGAGCTCACTCTCTGCAACGAAATCCTCTTTTAATGTTCCCGTTTTTGGCAGTTCGGCCGCAATCAAACAGCTGGAGGCCCAGCGAGGATCCAAAGTAATTTAGGCTGGGAAATTATGACATTTTAATTAGGGAGAAAGATGGCCCCCTTCAGAGTCCTGGTTCAGACTGGGACACAAGAACTGAGAAGCGCACCGGTGAGGCACTCAAAATAACCCTTATTATGTACAATTCAGACAAACACGAATGCAGTAAGACTTTAAGGCAAGCTTGCACAAACTCACATTGTTACAACTTTTCAAGTTCAGACTAAAACTCAGACTGGACTCAATGTCCCACTGACACAAGAGCCGCCCATTGCTTTTGGGATGTCCTTAAGCAAACACTCTCAGAGTACTGGGTTGTTGTAGGTTTTTTGGGCTATATAGGCATTCTCTAGAAGCATTCTCTCCTGACATTTTTCCTGCATCTATGGCAAGCATCCTCAGAGGTTGTGAGGATGCTTGCCATAGATGCAGGCGCAACGTCAGGAGAGAATGCTTCTAGAACATGGCCATATAGCGCAAAAAACCTACAACCCAGTGATTCCAGTCGTGAAAGCCTTCGACAATACTCTTGGAGTAATTTCTTCCTTCTCCCATTTTCTCACTTTGTTCTCAGTGTGCATCGGCAGCTCCAAAACTGAGTTGCAATATCTCTCTTGAATTGTAGTTCTCAGAATTGGACACAATATTCCAGGTGTGGTCTAACCAAAGCATAATAGAGCATGGGTAGCATGACTTCCCTAGATCTAGACACTAGGCTCCTATTGATGCAGGCCAAAATCCCTTCTTGAAGATTGGGACCACATTGGCTCTCCTCCAATCTACTGGAACTTCTCC